ACTCCTCGGCGCCCCCGCCCCTCCCGGCTGTTCCCCACCTCCAGCCCGGCCTCTGCCCTTTGTTTGCCTCCCCCTCGCGGCTCGCCCCACTTTGTTCCTGCGGACCTTTGTGGTTCCTTACTCGGGCCTGCCCTGTTCGCGTTCCTTCGTCCACTTCCAGCCTTTGGGACGTCCCCTTTTCCTTGCTTTCCTCCATCACACGTCTGCTTTTGGATTCGGCCTCCTTGGCCTCTTCGGCCGGTCTCTGTGGGCTCCTCCGGCCTCCCGCGCCCCGTCACCTCGCATCCGCGCGGCTGACACCTCAGCCGCTCACTCGGATCCAAGGAGGCTGCCCGCCACCTCCCCGCCAAGGCTCGGACTGGCACGGAGTGCAGAGCGGTGCCCGCGGGTCGATCTTCCCTCTCCCTTCCCACCTCTGTACCTGTACTCGGTCCCCAACGTTTCCCATGCAGCAGTCCTAGGAAGGGAATGAAAAGTTGAAGCCAACAGTACAACTCCTAAAAGGAGAGAGGGGGAGGGGGTGTTTTAAAGGAAGGTCAAACAGGGCAGCAAAATAATCAAGTATGAAGTTATAAAGCCCAGTTTGCTAAACTCCAGCTAGGGGAGGGGGGAACTGATGCTATGTTTAGAGCAGGATTCAAATTCCTCCAAAAACTATCAGCGTTGATAAATACATTAATTATTCCCGTGTCTACAGATTGACCTCCTGGGATCTGCTTCCTTATGATTACAAGGCCACTGAGGCACCACTTTAAATGATAATTTGCTACCTGGCACCTGCCAAACACCCAGAGTGCTTCAATAACAAATGGGGTGGTGGGGGAGTGAATGGTGTGTTACTATCCCAAAGGATGGATGCTATATTTAATCAAAAGCAGAAGCTGAGTGCCGCCTAACGGCTAGGTCGTCCAGCAGCCAGCGGCTAGAAGCAGCTTCAAGCAGGCTGGTCTCCTTAGAGTCCTTTAGACATTTATTCTGAAATCCCAGCTTACTGATTTAATTTAGACGGACTCAAGGCACAGCTAAGCTCTGTGACCCTGGGGGAGTCAGTTAACCTTTCTCAGTCTCAATGCCCAAGATAATGAACGTTGATATTCCCGAAAGATTTCAAAATTCATGGCACAGACTGGCACGGAAGGAATGAGACCCAGAAAACCAAACCGAAACAAAACAAAACAAAAAAAACCCTGCTTTTTTAGCTGCACAGCCCTCTGGGAGACAAAAGATGCCCTCTAGACCGAGTGACCTTTGTCCAGCTTCACTCTGTTCTATTTTGCACTCTACCATGGAAAAGAGTTTTTCTCCTGCTGTTTCTTATCAAGTATATTATTTATCACGAAGATTTTTCCCTCATAGCTCATCTACGCAGAACTTACTGTGCATTCAGAGATACAAATTGATACCAACAAATGCGTTTTTTAATTGCCCTCTTAAGGGTTTTTTTTTTCCTCTCTAGAGCTAATATTGAGCAGTATTCACTCCGATGCAGAAAAAAAAAAAAAAACCCAGAAAGTGTTACTGAAGTAGTTATTTTACTATATCACTGTACAAGTGGCAATCACGTGAAAAACATGATTTTATGCAAGAACATAATAGTGGTTCTGCAAAAAAAAAAGAAAAAGATTCAGTCATTTTTTCTCCAAATCAGTTTCATAAGCTATTCTTTTTTAAGCCCACTCCCCAAGACATCTTCACCAAGATAATGAGGCTCATCTAATTGAATCACAAATGTTTGTTGAAGAATCTCCACCTAATGAAACATCTTATATGAAATATCACTTCAATCTAGCAGTCTACATAAAACCAACAAAAGCAAAATGGTGACGCATGCGATCCATTCATAGAAGCCCTACTTATGGTCGTCAAACTAGGAGGTAAAGGCTCATTAATAACAATATATAAATAAATTTTGAAATACAATTGGGCCTGCCCAGCCTGAGCTGCATAGTGAGACCTTGTCTCAAGAAGATGGAAAAAAAAAAAAAAAGAAGATGGAAAAGAAAGAAAAGCATAGATGAAAAGCTGCTCAACATTATTGGACATTAGCAAAAAGCAAATCAAAATAATGGGATTCTATTTTTTCTTTTCATTTTATGTATTTGGTACAGGGTCTCCTTACACAGCTTGGACTCGTAGCGATCCTCCTATTTTCAGCCTTCCCAGTACTGGGATTC